GCGAACAGCACGACTGTTTTCGAAAATCAACTTACAGGGTACCATCATATTCGGGTCGAACCATCGGACTGCGCCAAAACAGCATTTAGGACTAGATACGGGTCGTTCGAGTACACCGTAATGCCCTTCGGGCTGACCAACGCCCCGGCGACTTTTCAGATGACCATGAACGAGGCATTTAGGCCGCTCTTAGATAAATGCGTCATAGTTTACCTCGATGACATCCTAGTTTACAGCCGGGACAAGCAGCAGCACTTAGCGGATCTGGAAGCGGTTTTTAAGGTTTTAGACGAACATCGCTTACTGACCAAGGGTTCCAAGTGCGAGTTCTTTCAGGATAGGCTAGAATTTTTGGGGCACGTCATTTCGGAGGCTGGAGTTGAAATCGACCCAAAGAAGCTGGATACAGTAAAAGCATGGCGTCCCCCGACCAACATCACGGAACTGCAGAGTTTTTTATGATTCGTAAATTATGTGCGTCGGTTCGTCCCCGACATGGCACAATTGACTGCTTCACTGACTGACTTACTGCGGAAGGGGGTCGCTTTTACGTGGGGGGAGAAAGAGCATGCTGCCTTCTCTGCCCTGAAAAATGTCCTCTGTTCACCGCCCTCCCCGCGCATCGCCGACCCACACCGCCCTTTCGAAGTTGTTACTGACGCGAGCGACATCGCCATCGGAGCCGTACTGCTACAGGATTTCGGCAACGGCCTACAGCCCATCGCATACGAGTCACGAAAACTGCATCCGCCCGAGCGAAATTACCCGATACACGACCGCGAAATGCTCGCGATCGTGCATGCGTTCAAAGTGTGGCGCTGTTACTTGACCGGCGCAGACGTGACAGTACGGACAGACCACCGATCACTACAGTACCTCCGCGCACAGCCCCACCTCAACCCACGACAGATTCGCTGGCTCGATTTCCTCGAGTCAAACGAATTTTCACTACACAGTCACCTATAAAAAAGGAGCCTCGAATATCGCCGACGCACTGACCCGCCCCACTGCCCAAATCCACGCCATACTACTCGCCCAGACCAGCCCGCTACTGACAGGACTATTTACCCACTGATATCAAACAGACCCATTCTTCACAGGAGGAAATTCGCAGCAGTTCGCAGCAGCCAAGGGAGTCTATTACGTAAAAGCCGGGACCGACCGCATCTGGGTACCAGGATACACACTACTACGGGAACTACTATTACAGGAGGCACACGACGGGGCTACCTCGGGACATTTCGGGGTAGAAAAAACACAACAGCAGCTGCAGCGGTATTATTATTGGCCCGAAATGCTGACCGACGTGCAGCGACACGTGGCATCGTGCCCCACCTGCCAGCACTCCGCATAGGAACTGTACATGCGGATTGCATTGCAGAGACGAAGAGAAATGAGTGCGGAGAGAGTGTGTAGATGAGCTGGAAGAAAAAAAGACCAAGCCTCGATGGGAGGTACCCTCCCCCACCACTCCCCCTGCCAGCACTCCGCATAGGAACTGCACATGCGGATTGCATTGCAGAGACGAAGAGAAATGAGTGCGGAGAGAGTGTGTAGATGAGCTGGAAGAAAAATAGCCCAAGCCTCGAGGGGAGGTACCCTCCCCCACCACTCCCCCTGCCAGCACTCCGCATAGGAACTGCGAATGAGAATTGCAGAGATGAAAAGCTGAAAGTGTGTAGGCGGGCAAACGAAGGAAATGGCAGAATACACTTACCCTTGAAGGGATCGACCCATGCATGTACACACCACCGCTATCCCTGCATGCACACACCACCGCTATCCCTGCATGCACACACCACCGCTATCCCTGCATGCACACACCACCGCTATCCCTGCATGCACACACCACCGCTATCCCTGCATGCACACACCACCTCTATCCCTGCATGCACACACCACCGCTATCCCTGCATGCACACACCACCGCCATCCCTGCATGCACACCACCGCTATCCCTGCATGCACACACCACCGCTATCCCTGCATGCACACACCACCACTATCCCTGCATGCACACACCACCGCTATCCCTGCATGCACTCCACATAAGTACTTTTGAGACGTCTCTTGAGATGTCTCAAAAGTCCCTGCAAGTCCCTGTATGCACTCCACATAAGCACTGGAGAAGGGAGTTGCAAAGACAGAGAAGAAGAACGAGAAGCGCAACGGCGACTACAGATATAGGCTCCTGTCAGAGTGCTTCTGTAAGTTGCTGATAGTGATAGGTATTGCATCTCAGGAAGCAGCACTCTGACAGCTAACTAACATTACTGGTAATTATAGTGTTGCAGCTTCAAACGAGTTCTGATCTGATCCAAACCAGGCCATTACCGGCATAACCAGTCCAACCCTAGACTGTCTGTGTCATTTCAAAGAGTACCTGTTTCATCTCCAAGCGTACCTGTGTCATCTCCAAGCGTACCTGTTTCATCTCCAAGCGTACCTGTTTCATCTACAAGCGTACCTGTTTCATCTCCAAACGTACCTGTTTCATCTCCAAGCGTACCTGTTTCATCTCCAAGCGTACCTGTTTAATCTCCAAGCGTACCTGTTTCATCTCCAAGCGTACCTGTTTCATCTCCAAGCATACCTGTTTCACTTCCAGACTCCGAACGCGCCGAACCAGAGGCACAGGCACGTTATCGGGCACGGGAACGCGGTATTCCCGAGCCTCCCTCGTGATCCGCTCCAGCGCATCCGGCTTCTCCTTCGAGCCTCCGCGTGGCTCGCGCTCGGATCGCTGCGGGGAGTCATTGTGACAGAAGAGATTAAAATGGGGGCATTTTTTCCTTAGAAGTTAAAAAAAAGTGAAGAGTAAAATAGTGAACAACGGAGAAATCGAGATAGCGAGGGAATTCAGGGTCAGCAAGGACGGAAGAAGCAGAAGTGGAAGCGAGTAGAACGGAACTGGTACAGAACGGACTGGCGTGTCGACGGTAGTAACTTACATGCTCAGGCATGGTTTCGGCGAAAGCTAACACAGCGATCTGATCGGAGAGAGTTGTAGGGACGGAACGCGGCGATCCGCCGCCTTTTGGGATTCAAAAAGAGAATCGAGACTCTAGGTTTAGGATCTGATCGGCAGTCTCCTGTGATTCTAGAGAGTCAGAAATAACGAAACTGGAAGGCCCAGCGGGGAGGCGTAGCGGCCATGGTTCAGAGCGCCAGGACTCCGCAAAGTGCGCGAGGATGCTCGCGCAAATGGGAGCCATGCGTGAGTGTACACTGCGAAAGGTAGGGCAACGAGGGAAGACAGCTGGCAGGCAAAAGTCCACCGTCGACATGACGCTGCGCATTGGGTGGCGCGGTAGGCATTGGGCTTGTCGAAGTAATTTCTGGTAGGGCGTCATAAATGCCACATGAAGCGTCACCTTGGCAGTAGGGAGAACCTGGCGAAACTAAAAGTTCTGTTGCCGGCACTTGAACCCGAGTCTTTCGGCTGAGAGCCGAATATTCTAACCAACTAGACTACAACGGATATAGTGGTAGAAAATTTGTTTTTAAGGTTTCAGTTTTTTGCTCGGCATATTCCGTGCTTTTCCACGTGGTACACGTGCCGTCTCGACATCCAAAACCAGATGTGTGGACACGTCATTCCGCCGTGTCATGCCAAACCTTCAATACAGCATTCCGCGATACAAGCGCCACTCGTGAGTGATGCTGTCCAAACCAAACCACCCCAACCACAGAGCAGCCGCCACGTGTGTGACTAGACTGCTTTGTGTTTCTTTTGGAGAAGCCTTCACCGTAGGTTAAAGGGAAAGTACATGCCAGCTCCATAGTTTCGAAAATCTCTCAAATTTACTCCCGAGTTTACCCAAAAAGTCCAGCTTGTGGAATTTCGCTCACGCGAGGCCCAGATTATGTTCAAAACTGGTCCCGCGGGGCCGAAATTTGGACACGTGTCCATTTCGCACCAATATTTTTTTGACGAAGTAAACAAAACATAATACCCCGAGGGAACGGGACACATTTCGGGAGGGATCAACCCTAAACACCGGGCGGGTTCCCGTGTTTAGGGTTGATCCCTCCCTAAAAAGTGTCCAGGTTTCCCTAGGGGTATTATGTCTTTTTGCCCTGTCGAGAAATTCTTGGTGCGAAGTGGACACGTGTCGAGAGTTGAGCCCCGCAGGACCAGTTTTGAGCATAATCTGGGCCTCGCGTGAGCAAAATTCCACAAACCTAGACTGTTTGAGTAAACTTAGGGATGATTTTGAGAGAATTCTGAAAATATGGAGCTGGCATGTACTCTCCCTAGGTTAAATTTAAAGTTATATTTTGGTCGTAACCAACTAGGGGTATCCATTCCTAGATGAGCACGTGCGAACCCCTTCATGGGGGCTGGCTGAACATGCCTGCACGGGGGTGGGTTCTATCCCAGGACCTCGTCTATCGGAAGCGCCTCTTTCTACTGACTAGGCCACTTCGGGATAGAAACCTTAATCGTAGGAAGGAGTGCCTCACCACCACCAGAGTTTCCATGTGGGGTCAAGCAAAGCAAAGCATTCCGAACATCTGAACTGTGAATCACATATACCGAATTAGTGCGGCCAGGGGTATTGAATATCTGGAGCACCCAGCTAAGCTTCTTTAAGAACTGTGATTTCCACTAAGTGCTGAAGAGCAAGTTGTCGCTCGTTGGGCAGTGGGCAAAGTTTGTTTCCGAGGCGCGTGGAAAATAGTACCTGCGGGGACAAGACGGCTAAGATCTGACGCGTAGAAAAGTTTGTCGCGGTAAAATGCGACTTCCGCTGCCGCCGCCCTTCGCGGGCGATGCCGCCGACGGCAGCAAGCAAGGAGCGGCTGTAACGGCCGGTCGTCGCGTAAACGCCGCCGGTTGTAGCGCAGCTCGTAAGCGTCACATTACGGCTCGTGACTCGCCGCATTCGCAGCATTCGCTACAACCGCTACAGTTGCCAGCGTGGCTACAGGAGCTGCTACAGAAGCAAGAGCGGCTACTAGCCAGAGTACAGGGCGATCCCCTTAGTTCCTATTCCATGGCTGCCGCGTCGTCTTCGTCTCGTTCCCCTTCGTCCTCCTCCCATTCAGATGTTGGTCCCCTCGGCATCGCAGCGCGTCAGCACTTGCCTTTTGCTAAAGTGCTTCAAACCCCGCGTTTCTCCAATCCCTTCGTCGCTCTCCCTATCCCGGGGGGCTTGTCTTCCTCCGCTGCTTCCCCCGACTCCGCCGCTTCCCCCGCCTCCGCCCCCGCCTCCGCCTCCCCCCCTTCCGCCTCCGCCTCCGCCTCCCTTCCTTCCGCCTCCGCCCCGTCCGCCTTTCAAGGGGACGCCGCGTCGCCGTCCGCCACAGCGCCAGACCCGGCGCCTTCCGCGGCGGGCTCGAAAGCGCTGATTCTGCTGCCGCGCCAGCGGCTTCTCTTAGTCCCCGCCGTCGACTCGACTCCGGCTACTACCGCTGACGTTATCACCGTCGTCGAGGCAGGTTCGCGGAAGAACCCTAGAGTGGAGCCTATTCCAGGTCCGGATTCCGGCTCGGGTCCTTCCGCCGTGATTCCCGGTCCGAGCGTCGTAACCTGGTCGAAGCTCGCCGGGTGGCGGGTCGAGCTCCCGCCGAACCTACCGGACCTGACGAAGCTTCGTCCGGACATCGAGAAGCTTCGGCCGGCATTTGAGGCGCGTGTGCAGCACACGCTGTCGCACGTGCCATTTCGGGAGCTTCTGGAGGAGATTCAGCGGTGGAGCAAGGCGCGCGGGGGGATAGGCGGGTGGGCGGAGGGCGGCGCGCGCGGATCGCGGCGGTACCCGAACAAGCAGAAGCTGTCGTCCGTGCAAGACTTTTTCCAATACGCGGAGGCGGAAGGTGAGCGCGTGGATGGTTAACCCTAATAGTGGTTGGCCAACAAGCAGAATCTGTCGTGCAAGACGAGCTAACGAATAGCTTAAGTGGCCAGGGGGCGAGCAAACCCTAAAATGCTGAAGCGCTGCTGTTGGTGCGCTCATAACAAACCCAACGTTCCCATTTCCACCCCCTTTCCCCCCCACCCCCTTTTCCCCCCACCCCCTTTCCACCCCACCCCCTTTCCCCCCCACCCCCTTTTCCCCCCACCCCCTTTCCCCCCCACCCCCTTTCCCCCCCACCCCCTTTCCCCCCCACCCCCTTTCCCCCCCCCCCCACCCCCTTTCCCCCCCACCCCCTTTTCCCCCCACCCCCTTTCCCCCCCCCCCCTTTCCCCCCCCCACCCCCTTTCCCCCCCCCCCTTTCCCCCCCACCCCCTTTTCCTCTCCATTCTCCTCGCGGCCCTCCTCCCATCCACACCCCGTCAGGCCGACTCCTGTCCTGTTTGCCGACTTGGACGAGGACGAAGACGGGCAGGTACGGTTAGAGGACTGGGAGAGAGCGCTGAAGCTGCTGCAGTGTCTGAAAGTCTTTAGCTATCCCCTCCACATTCCCTTCGCCCCATTCCCGCATCAGGCCGTCGCCTGTTTGCAGAGTTGGACAAAGACGGGGGCGGGCAGGTGAAGCTAGAAGACCGGGAGGGAGAGGGCGTTGAAGCTGTGACGTGACTGATGGTTTTTCCCCGTCCCTCCACCACCACCCTCCCCCTTTCCCCCACCCGCCCTGCCCCGTTTGCCGAGTTGGAAAGGACGGGGGCGGGCAGGTGAAGCTGGAGGACCTAGTAAGAGCGCTGAAGCACCGGCGCCTGCCATTGTCCAACCCCCCTCCCAACATCATCCTCGCCAACCCCCCTTCCATATTCCCGCATCAGGTCGTCGCCTTTTTGCCGAGTTAGACAAGGATGGGGACGGGCAGGTGAAGCCGGAGGATCTCGAGAGAGCATTGAATCGCCGGTATTTGCCAGCAGCGCATGCATGCCCGCTGCTCCGGCGCCTCAGAGGGCACTGTCTGCCTGGCTGCCTGGCTGCCTGGCTGCCTGGCTGCCTGGCTGCCTGCCTGGCTGCCTGCCTGCCTGCCTGCCTGGCTGCCTGCCTGCCTGCCTGCCTGCCTGCCTGCCTGCCTGCCTGCCTGCCTGCCTGCCTGCCTGCCTGCCTGCCTGCCTGCCTGCCTGCCTGCCTGCCTGCCTGCCTGCCTGCCTGCCTGCCTGCCTGCCTGCCTGCCTGCCTGCCTGCCTGCCTGGCTGCCTGGCTGCCTGCCTGCCTGGCTAGCTGGCTGGCTGGCTGGCTGGCTGGCTGGCTGCTGCTGCAGCAGTTGCTCCTTCCACAGAATCTCTTCCCTCCTTCCTTCCCCCCATGTTCTCACGCCATCGCCTTTTCACCGAGTTAGACAAGGATGGGGACGGGCAGGTGAAGCTGGAGGACCTGGAGAGGGCCTTGAAGCTGCTGCACTGTTTGACACTCTTCAACCATCCAGTCACCTCCCCCGCTACCAATTTCCCTGTTTCCCCCCTTCCTACATCCCCAGGGGTGGGGTAGGCGAGGTGGACAAGCTCAAGGCCAAGTTCATTGCTGGCCGCATCATCCTTCTCATCGCCACCACCACCACTGCTCTTGCTACCAGTGAGAGAAGGGATTGGAGTGGGGTGGGGTGGGGTGGGGTGGGGCGGGGTTGGGTGGGATGGACAAGCGGAAAGCGGAGTTCATCGCTGCGCGGATCATCCCTGCTATCGCCACCATCACTGCTCTTACCACTGGTGAGGGGAGGAGATTGATTGCTTGAATTGATTGTGTGCTTGGTTGTTTCTGTTGTGCGTGTGATTGCAACAACCTCGCTTTTCCCCTCTCCTCCATCCCTCTTCACCCCTCCCCCCTCTTCCCTGCCCAGGCCTCGTGTGTCTTGAGCTTTACAAGGTGCTTCAGGGCGCCAAGGCCTCTGCCCTGCGCAACACCTTTGCCAACCTGGCCCTCCCGCTCTTCTCCATGGCTGAGCCCGTGCTACCCAAGAGCGTCAAGCACAAGGAGCTGACGTGGACCGTGTGGGACCGGTGGACGGTGGAAGGCGATGTCACGATGCAGGAGCTGCTGGACTGGTTCTCGGCTAAGGGGCTCGATGCGTACAGGAGAGACGGTGGGAAGCAAGGTTCAAAAATACGACCGAATTTTTGAAAAAGTCACCGTAAAATACGGTATCGTATTTTACGGTCGTATTAAACGTAAAATACGGTCAGACCTTGCATTTTTAGGTTCGTTCAAAAATACGGTCGTTTTTTACGGCCGCAATTTTGAAACCGAGATTTATGAAAGTATTCCTAGACCTTGGTTATGGCCGTCGCGTTCGCATAATACTTAGGGGAGTTTCGGTGGAGCTCAGGAACATCCCTACGGAAGCTCTGACAGATTCCGAGGCCATCCATAAGGGCATGGAAGATCCTTACGAACATGTAAGGGGAGTTGGGTCTTGTAGATCTAGGGTTGGGTTGAGGCCGATGTTGAGATCTGTGAAAGTGTAAGGGGGGTTGGGTCTTGTAGATTCAGAGCGGTGACAAGTGGTAACTGGCGACAAATTGGTTGCGACATTTAGTTCCAACAATTTTGACGGGGAGTAAGGCAGTTCCTGGCGGGATCCAATCGACCGGCAGATCGGCGGGCGAAATCGCCGCACAAGCGTGGTCACTTATAATAGTCTGAGTTTTTGTGGGGGAGCGGCTTTTTAGGCCTGACAGTTAGCAATTTTCCTGATGTTCGCATCCTTAGAGGTGGACGGTTCCAAGTCTGGGAAAAAAATCTCCAACAAAAAAACGGCCGATTTTTTTGGAAATTGGCCGTAAAATACGACCGTAAAAAACGGCCCGTATAATACGACAACCGTATTTTTAATCCTTGGTGGGAAGGGGTGGAAAGGAGTGCAGGATGTGACGATGTAGGAGCTGCTGGACTGGTTCAAGGCCAAGGGGCTGGACGCGTAAAGGTGAGGCGATGGGTGGAGAGGCATGGTATTTGAGCAACATGAATCTACTGTATAGGATGAGGAGGACGAGGAGGAGAGGAGGTCACCAGCAGCTTCGGAGATTTGGGTTGGCATTGGGTTTGGTGCAAGGCGGGAAATTATGGGCTTTAGCAACCGGGTTGGTCTCCGGGTTGGTCTAAACACGTTCGGAGGGGAACTCAGTTGCTAGAACCTGTTATTCTCTGCCTGGCTCCAAACTTTCCAACGCCAACCGAGATCCCCGATCCTGCCAGTGAGCTCATTGCCGTGCCTCTCCTGCTATGTCCTGCGGCCAAGCCCTGCTCTTTTCAACTCAATCTTCCCGCGTCACAAGGAGCGCCTACCTCGCAAGGTGCTGGACATTGCAAAGGAGGTGTCCAAACAAACAAAGCCTCTTTCACCGTCCCCTCTTGTCTTCCCTTCTCCCTTTCCCAAACAGCATTTCCCGCGACCAATCCCTTCTCTTCAACTCGCTCTTCCCGCATCACAAGGAGCGTCTAGCTTGCAACGTGCTAGTCATTGCAAAGGAAGTGCCAAAGCTGGAGGTGCTCAAACCAATAGAGCCTTTTTCCCTGTCTCTTCCTGTTTCCCATTCTTTTGAAACAGCATTTCTTGCATCCAAGCCCAGCTCTTCAACTCGCTCTTCCCGTGTCACAAGGAGCGTCTGCCTCACAAGGTGCTGGACACTGCGAAGACGGTAGCAAAGCGGATGTACTCTAACACATCTTCTTTCTGTGCCTCTCCTGTCTTCTCTCTCACCTCCCTGAACAGTATTTCCTGTGGTCAAGCTCTGCTGTACAATTTCCCTCTTCCCGCGTCACAAGGAGCGCCTACCACGCAAGGTGCTGGAACTTACATAGGAGGTGGCAAAGCTGGTGGTGCCCAAACAAACATACCCTATTTCCCTGTCTTTTCCTGTCCCCCCCCCTCCCCTAAACAGCATCTCCTGCGGCCAAGCCCTTCTCTACAATTCTCTCTTCCCGCGTCACAAGGAGCGCCTACCCCGCAAGGTGCTGGAAATCGCAAAGGAGGTGGCGAAGCTGGAGGTGCCGGCTTACCGGCGCCACTTTGACGTGGTGGTGGCGTGTGAGGACGAGGAGGGAGAGGATGTTGACGTTCCCATCATCTCCATCAAGTTCCGATAGGCCTCAACATGTGCTTCGACCTCTGCCTCTGACATGCCGCTCCATGCTGCCGTACCTTTGCCACTTTGACGTGGTGGTGGTGTGTGAGGATGAGGAGGGGGAGGGTGTTGATGTCCACTTCATCTCCATCAAGTTCCAATAGGCCGCTACCTGCCTGTGTAGTGTAATGCGCTGCTGACAGTTGGCATCCTGGGGATGGAAAGGAGATGATGTGCTACTGGTTTTCTTCATAATTTGTTAGAAATACCTGCTTGTTGCCTGTGAGATTGATCATGCTGTGGTGTTCCAACTTCCATGCACACTACCCACATGCACCGACTTCGCTGAGTGCTGTTCTTATTCTGATGGGATGTGTTGCTAGTGGAAACACCTCGCAAGGTAGGAGTTCGGTGTCACATGAGCTGTATGTACGTAAGAGTGTTCTGTTCAGTGCACTAAACACTAGTGAAAATTAACAACGGACATTAGGGAGGGTATGGCCCACATAGAACAGCATGCCCGACATTCTTGCAATCTGGACATGGAGATTGCAGTACAGACGCCTGTTACGAGTGCAATTGAGTGAACGAACGAGAATTGCACTATCGAAGCAAGAGTACAATGAGCGAAGGCATGAGCGAAGGATTATATAGCGAAACTACAGTGGTAACGGTAATGGACTGTGGTTGTCGCGCGACAGGCCTGGGACTGAGGTTGGCAAAAGTGTCGAGGCGGAGGTCCGGAGCGCGGGTTACCAACCGAGCCGTGAGGTCGGGGTGCGATGTGCGAAAGTGGCGGGCATGATTGTCGATGCGAGGGGGGCGAGTGGTAACGGTGCTGACTGTGGTACTACAGTGATGTACGCGTTGAGCAGGGATGCGAAGTAAGGAAAAGGAGATTTTCCTTACACTACCCCCCCCCCCTTAAGGAGGTCCCCCTTACGAAAGTGCGTGTACGTCCCTGAAATTTCAGCTGCGCAGATACTCGGTGAGGGTGGGGTGGTTTTCGATTCTGTCCAAGGGAACCCAATTATCTTCGGTGGGTGTACGGTCTTTCCAGCGAATCAGGAACTCGATCCTTCGGGCTCCTCGAGGGTCACGAACTCGGTGGCTGAGGATTTTTTCGGGGGTGATGATTGGTTCAGTTGGCGGTCGTGTCATGCTGGCTGGGCGATTGCGTGGCAGTTGGCTCGTGGACGGGACGTAAGGGCGAAGCAGGCTGATGTGGAACGAGGGGCTGACGTACCAGTCAGCAGGGAGGAGGAGGTGGGCGGTGACAGGTGTGATCATGTGGCTTATGCGAAATGGCCCGCAATATCGGGGGCGGAGTTTCGGGGTGACGGGCAGTCGGAGATTTTGGGTGTCGAGCAGAACTAAGTCGTCGGGCTGGTAAGTGACAGGTCTGCGGTGGCGGTCGGTGTTGCGTTTAGCGATGATGTTAGCCTTTTTAATCGCGTCTGCTGCCCGATGACGTGTTCGGATCGTCGCATGTGGCCCGGATGAGCTGTTCCATGGTCTGGTTTGTCCGTTCTGTCTGTCCGTCTGTTTCGCCAGGCAATGGTGGGTGGGAGTGGCACAGCAGCGCGGCGCCTCACACCCATCCACTTCTCTTCCCCTCCCATTGTCCTTACAAACTCTCTTCCCTAATTCCCTCTGCAGTCGGGGAAATATGCAGGTCTGCAACAGGCCCTGGTGGGGGTGGCACAGCAGCACGGCGCCTTACAGCTGTTCACACGTCTTCACCTTCCATTCTCCTTACAATCCCTCTCCCATACTCCCGTTTTCAGCCGGGGAAGTACACTGGACTGCGCCAGGCCTTGGTGGGGGTGACACAGCAACACGGCGCCTCACAGCTGTTCCGAGGGGTGGTGCCGAAGCTGGCATCCATGGTGCCCGCCTCGGCCATCAACTTCCTCGTGTTTGAGTCGTTGAAAGATGAAATCAAGGTGCGTGTGCACACTGCCCATGCCTCATGCGCCTAGACGCTCTCTAGCTCTCTGCTTTGCTTACTCCCCATCCATGCCTCTCCTCTCTCCTTCTCGAGGGGTGGTGCCCTAGCTGGCATCCATGGTGCCCGCTTCGGCGATCAACTTCCTCGTGTTCGAATCCCTCAAAGAGAGGTCAGATGCATACGTCCATGTGTGTGCTCTATGCCCCTCACACGCACTCCCGCTCTGTCCCGCTCTCCTGGTGCCCAAGCTGGCGTCCATGGTTCCCGCCTCTGCCTTCAACTTCCTCGTGTTTGAGTCACTCAAGGAGGACATCAAGGTTAGATCTTAATTTATTTGTGCCCTATTGCCCTCACACACACACACACACACACACACACGCACTCCCTCACTTAGTGCCTTAACTGGCGTCCATGGTGCCCGCCTCCGCCATCGGCTTCCTTGTCTTCGACACGGTCAGCTGCGTCCTGTTTGTTGTGCTCTACTCTCTCACACTCTCTCCCTCGCTCTCTCCGTTGCACAATCTATCGCACTCGCTCCCTTACCCATTATTCAAACAAATCATGTCTTTCCTCTCTCGTCATTCCCATCAAACAGAGAGGGACAGCAGGCACCCTTCTGCACCGCCCATTCTCGTTTCAGGAGGCCTCGCTAAAGTCGCTATAGCTATAGTCACAAACCCTTTCAATATGAAGTTCCAGCATAGTCATGCCCTTATTCAGTGCCCAATATCTTTGTTCTCCCATCAACCAGCGACGGAGGAATGGCAAAGACCCCTCTGCAGCACACACACTCCTCGCTGGCGCCATTGCAGGAGCAGCCTCCACTTTAGTCACACACCCTTTCGAACTCTGCCGGCGCGAAATCAACATGAGCTTGCTACCAAAGCACGCCACCCCTACGGGCGGGCACGTAGAGTACAACTCTCTTCGGCAGGCAATGAGGGGGATATTAAGGAAGGAGGGGGTGAGGGGGCTGTACAGAGGGGTGCTGCCGAGCCTGATCGAGCTGGTTCCCGCCACAGCGATTGGGTTTATGGTGTATGAGATGGGGAAGAGGGTGATGGTGGCTGAGGGGCAGGAGGGGAGGGATGAAGTGAAGGGGTGATCCATGGAGGGATGGGTGGATGGGTGAAAGTGGAGGATACTTATGGAGGTACGAATGTACATATTTTCCATTTGTAAATATGATGTGTGTACCAGCTTGCTGCACATGCAGCCATTTGCTAGTACAATACGTGGACCAAATTGTGGATACATAACCAATACTTAATTCGTTTTCCGTGAGCAGTTTCTTTTGATTGTAAATACGTAAAGTTACAGGGTAATTCAAATGGATGACAATCCGTATAACAAGTTTCACTCTAAACGCTTGCACCATTGATTTTACACATAACCAGACAGACCTTTAGGGCGAGGTCAGCGCGTTCATTTATAGGTCACCTGTCGTGGCGCAAAAAGATTCCAATTGGTTTAGAGAAGTTTTGACATTGAACCGTTTTAAACCGTGACTAAATGAGAGTAACCGCTCAGAATGAACTGTATTGAAACTCTGAATGAACGCGCTGGCCCCGCCTTTAGCCATTCCCTGACTTCATATCCCGCCGCAGTAATTCGACAACATATGTCCAGTATCCCGAAATCCACTGGGTTAGAGCGTAGGTTCGGCTGTAGGTTCGGTTTATCGAACCTGTTGCCTTTAGCCTCGCCTCCTCGACATACTATCTCTTTCTCGCCTTCAAAATCTCTCGAGCCGCTCTCGGTACTCCCGATTGCGGCGGAGCTTGGGAACACCACACGCCTCAGAGAACCCCCCCTCCCTTGCTCATACAGTCGAGAGAGCTCGCATCGAATTGTCGGTGCTCGGGACTGACCTCGAACAGCGATGCGACACTTTAGGCCACCGAGCGACGTCGCCATGGGCACCGATCGCCGCGGATTTCACAGGCGATGCGGATTCGCTCAGCCGTGGCCATCGGTGCCTCACACTCTTGCCGACTCCGAGCCTCACACCTCGGCGATTCCGAGCCTCACACCCTTGGAGATTCCGAACCTCCCACCCTCTCCGTGACTTTCGTCGCACCCCTGTTCCAGTTTCAGACACATCCCACCGTCCCTTAGAATCCTAGCAGCCACTGAAATGTGCATGCGTGCACTCAACTCACCAATGACAATGTCCTCTGCGCCATGGATTCCGCCTGATGGCTTTAAGGAGCTCGATCGTGAAAGTTGTCAAACATTATACATGTTGTGGTTGTTTAGGCTACAGTGGGTTAGCCTTTAGGGGGTACACAATTCTAGGTTTAGATACTTGTACTCATTTCACTGCTAGTTCAATCATTCCTGTCCGTTCATTTCGACATGGTTTCAGAGCAGGTCCTTCGCTAGGACCGTTTTTTTTAGGGCCCACCGCTACTGCCTACCTACCTACCTACCTGCGCCCTAGTGCGCCTTGTTTTTTTTCACGGCCCCCTAAGGCCCCGCGACCCGCGACCCGCCCCTTAGCGACCCGCGCGCCGCCCCTTAGCGACCCCGTCGGCCCCGCGTTCGCCCCCTAGAGGCCCCTTACCGCCCCGCGCTCGCACCTAGAGGCCCCTTACGGCCCCGTCGCAGCCCCTTAGAGGCCCCGTCGGCCCCGCGCGCCGCCCCTTAGAGGCCCCGTCGGCCCCGCATGCCGCCCCTTAGGGCCCCGTCGACCCCGCGCGCCGCCCCTTAGAGGCCCCGCTGGCCCCGTCGACCCCGCGCGCCGCCCCTTAGCGACCCTCGCGCCGCCCCTTAGAGGCCACGCTGGCCCCGTCGACCCCACCCGCTGCCCCTAACCGCCCCGCACGCGACAGCGACGGCCCCGCCAAACCCAGGCCGCCCGAACCGAGCCGCGCAGCCCACACCGAGCCGCGCCGCCCTAATCGAGCCGCGCCGCCCTACCTGAACCGAGCCGCGCCGCCCGTCCTGACCGGCCTCTCTGGACCGAGCCGCCCTACCTGAGTCGCGCTGCCTACTACTGTTAGGGTGCACCTACTGCTACTGCTCCTACTGCTACTATGGCTAGCCCTCCTGTGCTAGCTTTCGATGCTGAGGGACGTCCAGTGAAGTTTGACACCTGGCTAGATGACCTGCACCTCTTCCTACAGCTCACTGCCAAGGAGGACATCTCACTGTACGATCACGCCCTAGGCCATGCCACTGTGCCTCCTACTACTGCTGACAGCTCTACCCGCTCACAGTGGCAGACTCGTGACGCCCACGCTCGCTTTGCTATTCGCAACTCCCTGCCGATAGATGAGCGCGAGCACTTTGGCCAGCACAAGACTGCACAGGAACTGTACAAAGCTGTCGTTGCCCGCTACTCCTCACCTGCCTCCGCCGGCCATCTCTCGCTTCCCTACCTGTTCCCCGACCTGTCCTCTTTCCACACAGTCGCTGACCTCATCACGCACCTCCGCACTAGTGAGGCTCGCTTCCGCGCCGCTATGCCTGATGAGTTCCTTGCCAAGAACCCCCCCCCCCCCTCTGGCTCACTCTCTACCACCTAGTCACCCGCCTCCCTGACTCTCTGCGTGCAGTCAGGGATTCCTTCCTAGCTCGCTGCCCTACTGAGCTCACCATTGCCCTCCTCGAGAAGGAACTACTTGCAGCTGAGGCTAGCATAGTCGCTGTAGGTACCTCTCGTGGCGACCCCCGCACCCCGTTCTTTGAGGGGTGTTCTCCTTCCCCCCTTCTTCCCTCTGTCGCCTCTGCTGCTGCTGTCGACCTCCTTGGTGCTGAGAAGGTCGGGACTGCGTCTGCTTCGAGCGGACGCCGCAGCGGCAAGGGCAAAGGGGGCAAGGGAGGCGGAGGTGACGGCGGGGGAGGAGGAGGTGGGGGCGGTGGCGGCGGTGGGGGTGGTGGCGGGGCTGGAGGGGCGAGTGGCAGCGGTGGGGGTGGTGGCGGCAGCGGCGGGGGAGGTGGCAGGGGCGGGGGCGGTGGTGGGGGTGGCGGTGGACGCGGCGGCGGCAGGGGTTGGGGTGGTCGAGGAGGTGGGGGCGGAGGTGGTGGTCGTGGAGGCGCTGGCGGTGGCCAGAGCCAGCAGCACACTCCGTCGCTCCAGGAGGCCCGTGAGTGGTACTCTCAGCACGGGGGGGGGGGGGGGGGGGGGGGGGGGGGGGGGTGGCTTTAGCTGCACGTACGTCATTCGCACTGGTGACCGCACTGGTCAGCCGTGTGGGGGACCACACGCCACGCAGCGCTGCTTCGCTCGCCTCAACGACGCTTGGCGTGTTCAGTTCCCTCAGGCCACTGAGCTGCCCCGCTGGGTTGATCTCCTGAAGAAGGGGATTGATATCTATGCTCTAGACTTTGATGCTATTCTCACTGCCATGTATGTGATGTCTACTAGTGGAGAGGGTGCTGAGTACCTGTGTGTTCCGCCCGACCCGGGCATTAGGACCAGTGCGTCTGCCGCTTCAGGTCCTCGCGTGTCTGCTACCTCAGGTGCTGGTGAGGCTGCTGCTCTAGGTGCTTGTGCGTCTGCGCCCCCTGGTACTGAGTCGACTGAGGCACTACACACCTTCACACTGGACTCAGGTGCTTCTCGCTGCTTCTTTCGTGACCGCACTGTCCTTGAGCCGCTTGCTCGGCCAGTTGCTGTCTCCCTCGCTGACCCCTCTGGGGGCCCAGTACTTGCGACCTCCTCCACTGTCCTTCCCTGTCCTGCGGTCCCGTCAGGCACACTGTCAGGTCTCCACCTCCCCTCGTTCTCTACGAACCTGGTGGCGGGTTGTGCGCTCCAGGACGCGGGTGTTCACCAGTTCACCCCTGCCTACGAGCGCGTGACACACTGCACGTGTGCTCGTACGGGCCGCCACTTGGCTACCTTCACTAGGCAGCCGGGGTCGGACCTGTACACACTGACCACTGAGTCCCCTCAGGTCGCTGCGTCCGCGTCTGCGTCAGGTCAGCTGTCGGCCCCCTGCTCGTGTCGCTCTCTGGCGCACGAGACTGTCCTCTGGCACCACCGACTTGGCCACCCGTCTGTGCAGCGCCTTCGTGCCATGCACTCCCGGTACCTTGTCTCTGGTCTTCCCAGGGTCCTCCCTCCCCTCCCACCCTCGCCTGCTCCTCCCTGTCTTCCCTGTGTCGAGGGGCGGCAGCGCGCCGCTCCTCACTCCTCCTCATTTCCCCCGACGACTGCTCCCTTGCAGACGCTCCACATGGACGTGTGGGGCCCAGCCCGCGTCCGTGGTCAGGGTCAGGAGAGGTACTTCCTGATAGTTGTTGACGACTACTCGCGCTACACCACGGTCTTCCCCTTGCGCACCAAGGGTGAGGTCCCTGATGTTTTGATCCCTTGGAT